CCTTGCCCAGGTTCAGGGCCCTGGTGCTCCCTGACTTTCAGCTGGCCCATTGAACAGGATTCTGGGTGGCTGCCAGTGTGCAGGGCTGGCTTAGGGCCACCAAATGGCCACTTTTACCTCCTCCTGTCCCCACTACAAACCACCTCTCCATGTCCCCTACCTCTTGGGTGGCTCCCTGCCACCTAGACTCTTAGGGGGTCACTCCACCCCCTACCTCCCAGCTGGCAGGTGTACTGGGCCGTGAAATTTCCTTGCTTACGTACCAGCACACTGAGACCAGGCCCCTGCGCCTCTGCCTCCCCAGCCCTCATGAGCAGCTACTCTGCACTCTGGCTCCTGGCCCTCCCTGAGCTCTGTCCTTCCTGCGAACCACTGCCCCGCAGTTCTTGCCAGCAGGCACACTCTGCCCCAGGTCATCTGTACCCTGCTCTTCCTTTGGGCCCCCAGGCTCAGTGCCACCCCTGGCCCTGCCCCTTGCCGAAGCTAGGTCCCAACACCCATTCCCCAAACCACCCACTGCCCCTGGCCCTGTGGGATTATGTTTTCACTCTCTCTCGGGACCTGCTGTGTCTCCCAGTCCTAGCTGGAGTCTGGCCTGTCAGTGCCAGAGTAGGTGCTTGGGCAGGTGGAGGTGGGAGTTCATCAGTAAAGGGTGATGGTCGGTTATCTTGTGTCGTGACAGGTCCTGTGCCCCATCAAGAGGCTCACCTCTTTTTCCCAAACCAACGCAGCGCCTTGTGCAGACCAGGAAACAGTGTTGGGGTGGGAGTAGCTAGCACACATGGGCTGGTGCGGAGCAGGGGCAGGGCCTGCCAGGGAGCTCAGACACAGGAGCGCCCAGCAGGCAGGATACACCCAGCATCCAACAGCAACCTGCTCCCCCAAGGTCCATCCTTCCCCGTCCTGCGGCTCGACTGTCTGTCCGACCCCTGTCTTGAAGCCGTCTATTGGGCCCATGGGTCCTCTGGAGTCTCAGGGGTTAGCTCGCACTGTCCCCCATCCCCGATTGCTGGGTGGTCTCAGCCAGTGCTGCCACTGTCGGCAGCCCCCCCCATCCCCCAAGCTCTGAGCCTCGTTTTCTTACCTCTGGAGGAATGTTTGGAGCCCCTCCCCAGGTTGTAGAAAGCACCGGGGCACTGTCTGCATAGCCCACACCCCGCATAGGACGCCTTACAGGCACCCTGGGGACAGGGAAGAAAGAGCCCAAGGCTAGGGGATCTCTCTTCCCTGTGTCCCACTACACAACCACCGGGTGACTCAAATGGGAGTGGAGGGGTCACCTCAGGTATTTTTAGAGCAAGACAGGGCTGAGATCCAGGTTCAGGGAACGAGGAGCCAGAAGGTCTCTGGCAGGGCCGTGGTGACCTGGAAGAGGCAGGCGATCGGCTCTCACAGCCAGCCAGGGACCCAGTCTCCTGCCAGCAGCAGGAGGCCCCAGGCAGAAGAGGCCGACCTCCCACCTCGGCCCACCTCTCACCCACTCTCAGCCGGTCAGCCTCACCACTCCGTACCCCCGTCCAGAGCTCTCAGTTCTGGCTTGTCATCCTCCCCTGCGTTGTGCACGTCACCACCACTCTCTGCGGCTTCTCTGTGACGTCTGTTCTTAGAGATGGGAGAGAGGCGGGGTCGTCTACTCCTGTGAGAAGTGACCATCTCGGACACGCCCGGGGGCCAGTTCTAGCCCGTCCTGTGGGGTCTCTGAGTCGGACCTGACTTGACGGCAGCGGGTTTGGCTTTTGGAATCTTCTGAGGGTGGAGGAGACAGGCACGTCTGAGCTGCCTCCACAGGCTGGGCAGGGGGCGAGAGCCAAGGTGCTGTCGGTCTTGAGCAAAGTGGCTGACGTGTTCTGTCCTGCCTGGTGGAGGCCGGGGCTGCCTGGTGCCTACTCTTCCACGAGTCACTGGGTACAGACGTTGAGTGAGAAGAGAGGCTTCCCCACCCAACCAGCCCGGACCACGCATGATACCCACCAAACCCCAACTGCAGGGCAGATCCTGCCAGCTCACTGCCTCGCCCCAGGGCACAGAACAAGCCCTCCCCGAGGGCAGAAAATGACCCTCCCTGTCATGCTCCCAGTCTCTCACTTGGACAACTGACCCCCGACTTCTCTGAAGGCCTCCACCTCTCTAAAAAGCTGCTGGCACCCATGAGCGGTCCACAGCGCCCTCCCCCACCCCAGGACTCCCACCTTCCATCTTGGAGTGGCACCTTCTGTGTACACATATGGCTCGACTCTGCCACCACCACTGGTCTGGCAGTGGCCTTATGGGCAGTCCCACTGGGTGCCCTCCGGGGGTGGTGGTGGTGGGGGTGGTGGGAGACAAGAGGATGAAGGCTGCTCTGTTTCCTCCGCTTGGCAACCAGCTCCCCTCCCGCTTCCCCAGCAGGGCTGGCCTCGCAGCCATCCGGTCCAGGGCCTCTGGGCCTTGCTGACCAGGCTGTGACTAGGGGGGCGATGATAAGTATGATCCAAAGGGACAGATCTCAGCACACGGTCTCACTGTGGTTGACAGGAGAACCAGTGTGTGTGTGTGTAACAAAGAATGACACTAGAGTTTTTGTTATAACAATTATTTTTATACAAAATCTTATCAGATATATTTCTCTGTCGGGTGCAGGCACCTTTGTGGGGTCCTAGGGCAGAGTAGGGCACAGACCTGGCAGAGCTGCTTGGAATGGTGCCCACCCGGCTTCCCAATGTGGCACAGTGAGGCCAGCTTTGTGCCCATCAGGATGCGCTCTGCCAGGCGGGGAGGGGCGGGCTCTGCAGCTCTGGTTCCGTTCTCTCCTCCAGGTGCTGGCCCCTCTCTCCCAGGACAGGGCTGGGTGGAGGGGGGCACGTTCACAGGGGAGGTGAGGCTCACAGGGGTCAGGGCCTGGACACCGGGGACTGGCTTGGGTATAGCACGGCATCTCATAAGATGGTTCTCCGAGGGGAGGGACCAGAGAAGCTGGGGCTGAGCTGGGGGCTCCAGGCCCCCCAGGGGTTAGGGCAGAGAAGTCGGGTCAACTTAGCCCCGAGTCCAAACTCAAGCAGAATAAATAAATAAATACTGTATAACTAACTGCGGCCCCTGAGCTCGGCCCTTCCCCCAACAAAGGGCCTGTCCCCTTCCACCTCCGCTGTTCCTCTGGCCCCATCCTCCATGAGGTGGCTGCCTGGGCCCCGCCCGCAGGGTCCAGCGAGATCCTGCTCTGGGTGTCCCCCCTCCCCCTGGGATGCGGCTCACCAGGGTGGGGCCAGGGGCCCCACGAGGCCATGACCTCTGAGCTGCTGGGCGCCAGATGCACACAGGCCCCAGGGAGAGCGGGTGTGCGCGGCTGGGTCAGAGGCGGAAGGGGTACTGTCGGAGGTAGTCGGCCATGCGCCGGGGCAGCGGCAGGCAGTCCACGTCGGCTACCAGCCGGTTGATGACCAGGCGGCACAGGTGCTGCAGGCTGCGGGCGCTGCGCGTGCGCACAAAGGGCTGCACCAGTTTGAGATGCACAGCGGCAGCGGCGGCCGCTGTCGGAGCAGGCGGTGCGGGATCGCTGGTCGCATCCTCCTTGGGGGCCGGCGGGGCGGGCGCCGGGGCGGGGTCGGGGATGTCGCTGCGGGGGTCGGCAGCACAGGAGGCCACGTAGTGCTGCACCAGGCTGACCACGTCTGGAAAGGCCAGGATGCGCGGCCTGGACAGGCAGTTGGAGTCCAAGCGGAAGCTGGAGTCTGCGTACTCGATGCGCACGTTGGTGGGGCCCCGGGTGGTCTTGACGGACAGCGTGAACAGGTAGCTGGGGTGGGTGCTGTCTCGCACCAGGAAGGTGCCCTCTGGCATCTTCTGCAGGTGTTGCCGGGCCTCGCTGGCCGTAATGGAACCCCAATACCAGCCTGGACAAGCGGGGATGGGTGGGGGGACTGGTCATCATGGAAACTAGCGGGGAGCAGCAAAACCCGGGCAGGGCAGGGCTGTGTCTCTCCCTCCCCTTCCTGGGAATGGCCTCCCCACCCCCACCCCCATCAGAATCTGCTGGGCAGGACCACTCCTCAACTGGAGCAGGAGTAGGCTTTCTTCCCGTCAGACTCCCTGGGACCACCTCGGCCCTGCCCTAGACTCACCAGATTCCCGCAGGTAGGAGAAGGTCCTGGCGATACACAGCAGGTCCTCCTCGGGGTCCAGCACCTTGGGCGGCTCACTTTCTGCCTGGGCTGGGGTCTCCTCTGTGACCTCCTCCAGGAAGACCCCCACAGGCAAGGGCTGCATGGCTGCCTCGGGCAGATCCAGGGCCAGGGAGCGAGCCCTGAGGGCCTGCTGCCCTGCCTGCTCCTCACCCAGCAAAGGACAGGGTCTGGCAGAGAGAAGGTGGGCAGTGAGCAGGAAGCCCCAGCTCTCCCCATTCCAGCCCTTGCTTGGCTGGAAGATCTTTGGGCTCCTCCTTGCACCTACGCACCTCACTTTCCCTCCTGCCTCCCCCCTCCCCCAACTCAGGGGGCCCAACACACACACACACACACACACACACACACACACACACACACCCCAACCCTTTGCCGTCACAAAAGCCCTCTTGACACATCCACACACAAACTCTCTTCTGGAAGATGTGTTCCACCTGGTGCGCTGATTAAAACGATCTTTCCATTTCCCAACACCCCAAAGCACAGATCATTCCTCAGAGGAGGGGGCGGGAAACCTCAGCCCATGCTCAGTACGAACATGTAATAAAATCAAAGTAACACTGAACATATATTTTTAAAGGTGGTCGTTCTCAGAGAATGGTGATTTCATTCACTTATAAAAAATAGTGAGGGCTCTCGAATAGGTTTTATGAGGGGCGGGATGGGAGCTTCCTTCTCAAAAGTTTGCCTACAGGCACTTCTGGTTCACAGTGGCCACTCGGTGTCCCTGCCACACTGGTGGGTCTATGTGGCCTGTGTCCTTCTGGATGAGGGGGGCTGTTACGGTGGCCCTGGGTGGGACAGGTCTGTCTGGGGTCTTCCGGAGAAGCCACATGATGACAGGAGGGGGCCTGAGGCGGTGATCTGTCACCCACCGGGGACAGGAGTGGCTGGCACAGAGACCTGACCCCCTACTGACCTGTACTTGGTAAAAAACACCCTTTCCCCTGCTGGCTGGACCCCGACTCCCATCTGGGTCTCTGCCCTTGACAGCTGAGAAGTCTGGCTGGACCATGTCCTCTGAAGGTACCAGCCAGCCTGACCCCTGCAGAAATACGCGCTCTGACTGAAAACCAGGGTTCTCACCCCAAGGTCTGGATGGCACCCTTGCCAGCTAGCTCTGACACACTAGGCCCTATAAAATGCCCAAACTCCCTGCCATCGAGTTGCTGCCTGCTCACAGCGGCCCCGCAGGGCAGGGTTAGAACCTACTCTGTGGGTTTCTGAGACTGTAAATCCTCCTGGGAATGAACAGCTTCCTGCTTTTCTCAAGCAGCTGGTGGTTTTGAAACGCTGACCTTGCAGTTTGCAGCCCAACACATAACCACGAAGCCACCAGGGCTCCCTTCTAGACCCTATCCTGCTTCTCACTAGGCCTCAGTCCTCCCCACCCCCATGCCTAGCAATATGGGACCCTCACCAACCCAGCCATCCAGGGATTTGGTAGCATCAAACCCAGAGAAAGGGGGCAGGGGTGGTGGTGGAGGTTGAGCTGTCCCCAATCTGGGGTGCAGTTTCTCTCGAGGGCAAGCCCCTGGCAAGGCCGGGCTAAGGCATCCTGGGCAGGAGGGGGGACTGGTGGACTGGTGAGTCCTGTTTCCCAGGGAGGGGGCAGCTACTCCTCCCTCATTTTTGTCACACTACATCTCTGGGCCTCAGACAATGACATCATGGGCCCTGCCTGCGGGGAGAGCCATCCTGGAGGGGGGAGCGGGCTCGGTGAAGCCACGGTCATCCAGGCACAGATGTCACAGGAGTGCTAGGGTCTCCTGAGCAGGCTCTGCCAGGTCAGAGGAAGGAGGAGGAGGAAGGGCGCTCCTCCTTAGGGGGCGATGAGAGAAGGGAGGAAAACCTTAGAAGCAAGAAACAGTGCCAGGTGTGAGACAGCCCTGACAGCACAGGTGACAGGTGACACCCTAGAAGGTTCTAACCCAGTAGGCCCCACAACTGCTTACAGGTGGAAGGGGCCACATACCCCGGCACACCGTTGCCTGCTCAGCACTTCCCCACACCCACCTGGCTACACTGTGGGAGCTCTGGAATTCCGCTCCTGGAGCTGGTGCTTGGTGGCCTGCCATGGGGACTCAGTGTATGGTAGGCGTGGCTAAATCCAGACACTGAGCAGGGTCTCCACCCCGGTCTGGCACCGCTGGGGATAGCGTGATAGTGTGTGCAAGTGGCTGTGTGGGCCCTCTTAAATGCCTGCTGCATGATTCTGAGCAGGGGTGTGTCTTCATGATGCACAAGGTGGCTGCTGTGCTCCAGGCGTGGGTGGCCTGTGCGTGCGTGTGCCTGCTGTGGGCTGAACTTAGTTCTGTCCAGATAGGCACAGTGTGGGGGAGAAGTCAGTCCTGGGCGAGACCCCCAGCCAAGCCAGTGGTTCAAAACTGCAGTTAGGAATGTCTGACTCCCCCTTCAGGAGGGTACATGTGTGAGTGTGTGTATGTGTGTGTACCCACATGTGTACATGTATATGTCCTATTACGTGTATATATGTGTACCATCTGTACTGTGTGTACGTGAGTCTGTGTGAACATGTGTATGTATGTGTGCACATGTGTATGTGCATGGTGGGGGTGAGGGGTGTTAGGAGGCCCTTTACTGGGCCAAAGTGACCGAGATTGTGGGACTTCCAGGAGTGGGGGGGGGGGTCCTCAAGGGGAAGGCCAAGTCAGGGAGGAGCAGGGACAGTCAGGGACCGGTAGGCTCCTAAGCCCTTAGGAGACAAAGCAGTCTGATCCAAAGATTGGCTCTGCACCCACTCAAAGCCCGGGGAAGTCCCTGAGTCAGAAATGCCCGGTGGCAACTCACAGCACGTCTCTTGAACACCTTCAAGGCCTCGCTTCCCAGACTGAGGCCTGCCTGGAGCAAGGGCCATGCCAGCCTCACCCAGCCACACACGCCCACTTATGTGGCATCTTCCCAGCTGTGATAACAGCAGCCACCCCCTCTTCCTGGGAGTGAGGGTTGCACCCACTGACACCTCCTCCCTCTCTCGCTGGAGCCTCAGAGCTTCCCCAGGTCAGTCCAGAGGGCATGAGCCCTCTTGAACACGGGGATGCTGAGGCCCAGGGCTGAGGCATGGCTCCTCCTATCAACACCCTCCCACTGGCCCTGGGAAACTTACAGAAATGGGCAGGGAGCAAGGTCTTTCTCCCACTGGGATCTCAGGCTGGGCAGGAAGGAGGAATGAGGCCATCGTGTTAGTGCGGGCCTCCAGGCAGGAGGAAGCTAACCCCAGGGCTCTCTCCCTAGAGACTATGGTCAGCAGGTGCCAGGCTGGGGCAGAGATGAGGCTCTGAGGCCCGCTTCCTAGAGAAGGGCCTAAGAGCTTCGCAGGACAGAGAGCGACAGCGGCTGGCCAAGGTCACCAGTGCACAGGGGCGGCGCGGCAAGCTGGGGTAGAGGCACTGCCGGTCTCGGACTGGTGAGCCAGGTCCCGGTGGCGGAGGGCACCCTGCGCTCCGCCCGTAGCAGGCCAGTTTCCCCAAGGAGCGAACAGAGGTCAGCGGGGAGGGGTGGTGGCCAGTCTCACACAGCCCCGCACGCCCGCTGTCCTTCCCGGGAAGCGTCCCCAACACCCAGGCGGGAGCGCGAGGCCCAGGCCCCCGGGGTGCCGGGCCAGAGGCTGGGCCGGGGCGGAGGG